GAACCTACCACCTTAGGTGTATGTGGCTGGCTCCTTAGCCACTTGAGCCACAGGCGCCAAACCAAGACTTTCTATATATATACTTTTCTATAGGCGGTTATGACTCTTTGTCAGCAGCTTTTGGGTACTTATGCTTAGTTAAAACCCCACCAAACTGAATAGTTTAAATCAGTAGTGGCTTAAAATGTGTGAATTGTTGGAACTGATTGTTCAACACTTAAGCGTACATATGAAAGTAAATCTCAATGAAGATCAAGCTGGGGGGGGGTAACTTCACACCTATTGTAGCAGGTTTACAATCTTGATTCAGTTTGTGCAAAAACCAAAGTATTTAAAGAAAACGTGTACCCCCTTATATTCTGAAGTAAAGAAAATAAAAATTGTGACTTGTAGAATCTGTTTTTTAAATGAAATGTTTTGTGGAAGAAGAATAAAATACAGGAACTTCTCTGGTTGAAGCATAGAAAAGGGGTGGGGTGTTCTGAAGCTACTATTCCCCACTCCTATGGTAGGAATCTATGAACCAGTATCTGAAAACTATGTTTTCCACTCATGTTTATGGCCTTCTACCCAGTTATATCATTTTAAATGTATTGTTGTCCTACACTTACTATTCATTCAAAGGGTTTCTTGTGTATGTGATGTGATCTTCCCAACAGCAGTTCCATTAGACAATATGGAATCTGTCCTTAGATGAAGGTGATAAAAAGCAAATTTTCAGTTTTCATGACTTTGGTGCCAAAAGATTCTCAAGCACAAAAGAAATCCCTGTGATTGCAGTAGGGTGTACAACTGGAGGCTAAGGAATTCCACTTCCCACAGACACTGAACTATGCACCCAGCTCTGTTACTGTAATTACCCATTCCTCAATGACAATTTAACTCAATCTGTTGGAAGAATCATTTACATTGTAGAATGTCTCTTTGATTTTAAGTTTTTTTTAAAATTTTAAAGTAAATTTATTTTTTATAATAGACTTTTTTTTTTAGTGCAGTTTTTTATTTTAGCGCAAATAAATGAACAGACAGTACATAGAGTTCCATATACCCATCCCACTTACCAGTTCCCATTTAATTTTTAATGATAGGCCAGGTTGGCTCTAGCTCAGTGGTTCCTTTGCCTCTATAGTGAAACTAATTTTTAATGATAAAAATAATACCTGAATATATTATTCTTGTTGAATATGATTAAATCAAAATCAATTTGTTTCTTTTCCTCCCCTCCCCAGTAATCAATGTTATCAGTTTGATGTGTTTTCTTTTAGAGCTTTTCTGTGATACATTAACATATATATGTATATGTATTCTGGCAATTGATTAGTATTACTATTCTAAAACAAATTAGAATACCATATGTTTTGGTCTGCAACTTGCTTTCTTTTAACCCACTGACTGCCATACTAGAAAAAAATTTTTTTTCCTTGGAGCCATGGTGTTTCATTATTAGGTCAAGAACATTAAGTGCATATCAGTTGCATTTAACTCATGCTAGTTTTGAACCCAGGGCAACATGAAGCATATATAACTCACATGTCTCTTAACCTAATAAAATACTGTGGCCCCCAGGAAAGACACTTTTTTTCTAGCATGGCAGTCAGTTTACAAGAGATATGTGAGTTATACCACATATATGTGTCACAAGGCCCTGGGCTCAAAACTAGTATAAGTTAAATAAAACTCACGTGGCAGGTAACATGTTTTGAAGATCCTTCCATGTTATTTTATTTAATTGTTCATCAACTGACATGACATTCAGATCAATTCCTTGTTTTTTTTTTTTTTATTTTCTTTTTGGCTGGGGGCTGGGTTTGAACCCACCACCTCTGGCATATGGGGCCGGTGCCCTACTCCTTTGAGCCATAGGCGCCGCCCCAATTCCCTTAAATGATGTTGTAATAACAATCCTTGTATACAATATGCTGTATACAATATGCTGATTATGCACATGCTAGTATTTGAAAAGTGGAATTGCTGGGTAAAATGATTTGTGCATTTTTAAACAATTTATATGTTTATTTGTAGGTAGTGAAAGTATACCCTTTTTTTACATTTTTATCAGTACTGAATACTATCAGATTTTAATATTTTTCCTAATAGGGGAAATGGTTTCTCATTTTAATTTGCATTCTTTAATGATAGTGATGTTGAACATCTTTTTATGCGATTATTGGACATTTGTATTTCCTGACCTTTCTTAGTTTTTTAAAGAGGAGAATAATCAAATAAAAAGTTTTTTTTTTTTTTTGTAGAGACAGGGTCTTGCTATGTTGATCAGGCTGGCCTTAAACTCCTGACCACAAGGGATCCTCCCATACTGGCTTCCCAAAGTGCTAGGATTATAAGTGTGAGCCACCATGTCTGACCAGGATTTGATTTGGAGGATTTGGCAGTTGCTTTTCTTGAATATGCCTATTTTGGTGAATAAGGAATATCTTAAATAAATAAAAATTTTAAAAAGCACCTAAGATCAAGAACATGGTAAATTTGATCCAGTCGTCATTTAATTGTTCAGTGGTTGAGTTTTTATATTGTATATATTACCTTCATTACGTACTTACCTTCATTGAAATCATGTATAAAATCAAGAGCATGTTTAATCATTTTTCTCATTTGATTCAAAATATCAGCTCTCAGAACCCCGTGAGGCTGGGGACCAACTTCTATACCTAGATACAGAAGGGGATATAATCATATTTATCTAAGTATTAGAATGTTTTACAAAAAAATGAGCATTTTAATATATCGAGATCTAGAATCCAACCATTAAAATTATTAAAAAGATAGATCATGTGGCATCATGAAAAATACCTAAGCACAATGTTGGCAAAAAAAGAAGCAGAACATTTACATGTTCAAGATATATATGCATAGTGAATATAGATTAGAAGAGAACATAGAAAAAATATCAGAGTTATGATAAAAATAGAAAGATTTCAGGTTTTTTTCTATCAATTTCATTCAATGTCAAAATATTTAAAAATCATAGCATAGTAAAAGAGGTAGACAAATTCACGCTGACAAAACAATAGGTGGGGTGCTGATGGGCTGAAGGGGCCTGAGGGTACACAGTTTTCTGTGGGGTTCTAGGCAACCTTTCACATTGCTGTGTCCTGGTGAGCATCCTGACCAATAAACCTGCTTTTGTTTGTTTGTTTTTCCTTTTTGAAAAGGAAAACCAAACAAAACCCACAATAGGTGGATACAAAGAGAAACTGTCACAGATCTAACATTTTACTTTGATAGGAAGAAGGACATTCATGGAGTCATAGAAATAGAGTAGACCAATCATGGATTTAAGTCAACACGTCCATCTATGTGATCCTAGAGTAACATTCTTGCACTTAATGTTACAACCTATCATGACATAATAGTGCTATTGTTTTAATTTTCTGTAGAAAAAATTTCATTTCTTCTCACCCCAATAAAACTGTGTTTATACTGTCAGGTCTCTTTCCCATGGCTGTATATTCTTAGACCTAAAAAATACCCTTTCTTCCTGTTCAAGTCTTCCACAAAGTCATCTCCATTTCTCAAACCACTTACAAAGTGTACCACCCTCACTCTACCCTTGTATCTTCCACTCAAAATTTACTTAGAATGAACCTGTCACATTTAAGCTGCCTTGGCAATAGAATGCAAAAGTGGTCCTTATAGGTGCCTATTAGAAGGTGCAATAGTCTTAGTGCATTATAAAATATTGATTCACAAAGAATATGTCTCTGATCTTAAGTGTCTGTTTTTCAGTGAGTGCTTGATGTAAAACTATTCCAAATAAAATAGTGAAGTTGGAAGGAGAACCTAAAATATTATTTATAATGAGCTTAATATTCCTTTATATTGAAATCTTTTCAAAACTTGGTATAGTTAGGGCTTGCCTGGGGTTAATTTGCTTGTTACTTGATAATTACAAGCTTAATAATATACTAGGTAGTTATAAAAGTTCTTTGAAAATAATTTTCTTAGAGTTTCAGCCAAGACATAATTAATTCAGTCACAACTATGGGAAATGTGACTTACCAACAGGATACTTGGCTACAGAACGAGTGGTTGCATATTTGAAGGTAGGATGCTCAATAAGATAAACGTAGCAGGGTAATGGAGCCAAAGAAGTCTGAAAAAAATTTTTAAACATCTTTTTTATTATGTAAAGACCATATGTTTTGTTCTCTTTGTTGCAAAGAGTCAATAATGCCTTCAATATGTTTTACTTCATCAACTAAGATTAATAAGACAGCTTTATGAAACATTTTATAACTCAGTGTTACAGCTTGAAAACATACAAATGAACCATATACATAGAAATATAATTGTAAAATTAAATTATACATAATTTTTTGTAAAATGTACATTAAACAATTCAGGTTCAAAGCATATAATAAAATGTCCTTCTTGATGGATTTGGTTATTTTTGTTTGCATCACTGGTTACATTTAGCAGTACTCTTTTTAAAAATTCTGTTTCTATTCCTGTGGTCCTGTTCTATTCCAGATGTTGAGTGAGTCCCTCTCTTCCTGCTTATCTGATTAAGAATTTAAGACAGGCTTCTTTGTTTTGATAACTGAGTATCAGCCATTCTGCTTCCATGTCTGGCAACCAAACATTCAGCAATTTTTGATGAGCAATAAAGAATAACTATATTATAATCTCCTATGGATAGGAATAATTCCTATCAAGTTATTGTCAAAAACTCAAGTAAATCAAAACAATAGTTGACTGGCCTGGACTAACATAGTGAGACCCTGTTTCTACAAAACAAAACAAAACCCAGGAATGATGGCATATGCCTATAGTCACAGCTACTTATGAGGCTAAGGCAGGAAGATCATGTGAGCCCAGAAGTGTGAATCTGTAGTGAGCCTGCATTCAACTGCACTCCAGCCTACATGACTAAGACCCTGTCTTAAAAGAAAAATGTTAATCTTTACTATAAGCTAGGTTTTAACCTAAATCCTTTTAATACTTTATCTCATTTAAGGCTTTTAGTGCCCACGTAGGGTAAGTATTATGCTAATTTTATAAAAATGAGGAAAGTAAGGTTTTTGGACTTGGCATATTTTCCAAGTTTAGTGAATGAGAAAGTCAGGATTTGGGAATCCAGGTTCTATTGACTATATGGGTCAAATTTTTCCACCAAAACACATTACTTCTCTGGAAAGAAAAATATCTGTAAGGTCTGACAAGTTCATGAGCTTGCCACTGTGCACTTATGTTGGCAGGAGTGTACAAACAGTGTGGTAAGGTTTCATATCCTTGGTGTATCAGTGTCTCACAGTTGTGTCCATGTCAATGTGTAGTGGTGTCTTGCTGAGTGGTGTTCATAATTGTTGTTGTGTATTTTTATATGCTGCTGTAAGAATGTTGGAGCTTGAATTAGAGCAATGAACAAACATTAAACTTCTTGTTAAACTTGGCAAGAGTGAAAGTGAAAGTTTATGAAGATAAAGCCATGAAGTGTACAAATGGATTAAGCATTTTTCTGAGGGGAGAGAAAGCATCACTGATGAAGAGAGGTCAAAGAGGCCAGTAATCAGCAGAACTGACAAAAACATTGCAGGAATTTGTCAAATAGTGCATTGAATTGTCACCACTGCATCTCTATATTCTGGTACTACCCTTTCTTCCACCCCTCATGCCTAGCTGTGGAGTAGATCCCATTTCTCTTGGGCTCTCCTTCTTGACCATTTTCTGGTTGTCTCATAGCTATAATTAACTTAAAAGTATAAGGCATATGCTAACTTTTAAATTAATAAATTAACATTACCTTAATATAATGAAACATTTGAATCAAAAGGTTATTTCTGGAATCTTCAAGGATAAGAGTGCACCCCATGTTAGAAGTTGTGTTGTGAAGGTCAAAAATAATATCATAAGAATCTTCACTATGTTTTGGACCAAATAAAAGATTTATTTCTTGAGCCCTTCTCACTTCATATGGCAGATCTTCTGATATTTCTTTGCTGTTTTTAGCAGAAAGGAAAAGATTAACAACATCTGTGGCTAAGATAACATAAACATACAATGAGAACACAATGTAAAAAGAATCAGTTGCCAAACCTTTAATATGAAAAATCTGTGTAGGAAATGAAAACTTATTTGAAACTTTTATAACTTTTATTCATTTGATTCCATGTGACTAATGTTGCATTGGCATGCCTATAAAATAATAGTTCATTTATATGATTGGTCACAGAACATATCAAACAGAATCTATCATTTGATTTCAACATTGAGCAAAACTTATCCATTAAGTTAATGGATATTTTCTTAGTAGTTATGGTGCACTGGGTTATTTTTTATGGGGCTAAACCATAAAATGCACCATTTCCCCCACTCTAGCTAATTCTAGTGCACAAACTTAGGTGCCCACATGATCTAATTAGGAATTCTTTTTTTTTTTTTTTTACAGATATAGAACATAGTTTTTATTTTGATTTTCTGTTTAAAAACTCTTATCTAAAAATGCTAATTAGGAATTCTCACTTGAGGTGTAGGAAAAACTAGTGGTCCAGGGACAAGGTTTACAAAGAGTCTCTAAACTCTCCAAAAATTTGCAGGCACATGTATATACCATGCATGTATATTTTTGGGACAGGACTAATAGTTCTTCTTGTATTTTCAAATGAGCCTCTACCTACTGCAATGATTAGTATTTTTTTTTTCTTTTGGCTATATATGACAAAGGTTTAAATTTACTTTTCCTTATTAAAATACCCACCCTCTTTTTCCTATAATCTATTTCTATTCCCTAGATATTTTTGCTGGTATTTTCAAGGGACCTACAGTTTGCACCTGAGTAATTCCTGTCCGAAATACAGTCAGGAAAGTGGAGCAGCCATTTTGTAGCCTGGAAACAAAAAGCATTAGAACAAAGCATATGGTAAGAATAGCGCAATGAAAAGATAGAAGGAGCCTGTAGCATTAATGATACCATGTAGCCACTGTACCAGCCCTGACCTGCCTACTGCCCAACTTAATATTTGTGAACAAGAAACCCTTATTTGTTTAAACCGCTATTCTCCAATTTCCATTATCTGCAAACCAAACCTAATGCATATACATGCACTTAAAAAGTTAATCCATGAAATAATCTCATGATATCTTCTCCATCCACTTTGGTTCTACATCATTCTATCCCACTTGAGTAAATGGGACCACTGCCTACCCACTGCCTACTCAGAGATGAGGCTTGAAGTTTTGAAAAATAATGAATGCTTTGTATTCTCACCACTGAAGTTCAGCTCCCTTGGAAGTATCCCAAGAGAGGAGGTTGAAAGACTTGGGAGAGGAAAGACCCAGAAGGGCACTATCAGCTATATTAAGTTGCTTAGATCTCTTCTGAATACATTTTTAAAGAACTTTCAGCAGGGGAAATACATGATAAAACTTGAATGTTCTGATGATTCATATAGCTATCATCTGGAGAATGGGTGGCAGGAAGGACTGGAACAAGGTTGGATACAAAGAGATCTTTTATGAGATCTAACTATCCACAAGAGAAATACACTAAGGTAGTGCAAATGGGGAGGATTTGGGAAGTAATATATTTTCCTTTATATAATGTGCATTTTTGGTCCAAATTTTTGAGGGAAAAATAAGGGTGTGTGTGTTAAGGTACTAATTTTGTATCTATGTAAGTGTTTTTAATTATTTTATTTATGCTTACGTGTTAAAAGTGCAACTCTAGAAAGCAATGACAATATCTGTATGCAAAATAATACCCTGGAATATGGTAATTGGTTGTGTCGACCTTGTGAAGAACTTGCAATAAAAACCCATGCTATACAAAGTGCAAAAGCAACTTCAACAAACTTGAAAACCCAACTTGCTGTGATTTGGTGGGCTAAGCAGCCAAATGTGACTTTTTGATGTCAGTAAACAAGCCCTTTAGTACCCTAATGAAGAAAGAGTGGATGTCCTGGATGCCGTCAGCTGGTAATGATTTAACACCTATAGGCAGAACCAAGAAAGCATCTATCACTCAGGCTTGTGATTGGATCCTAAAATCATGGAATTATGTCAAGAAGTGGTTGTGAAATTGTTTAAAAAAAATGTGGCATCAGCAATGCTATGGATGGAACTGAGGATGATGAAATTTACTAGAATGAAAAAAGGGGTAATGTAGAAATTGGAGACGACTGATGATACTTTTGATACTGATATTAAGAAAGAGCTCTTGGCTTTCTATGATGTGTAAATTAGTTACTGGTGCATAAAATTTCTTGTATCTTGTATCTGTTCTTATATTTTGTTATTTGTGGTATGAAATTTCTTTTTTTTTTTTTTTATTTAGACGGAGCCTCAAGCTATCCCCCTGGGTAGAGTGCCATGGCATCACAGCTCACAGCAACCTCCAACTCCTGGGCTCAAGAAAGTCTCCTGCCTCAGCCTCCCAAGTAGCTGGGACTACAGGCGCCCGCCACAATGCCCGGCCATTTTTTGGTTGCAGCCATCATTGTTGTTTGGCGGGCCTGGGCTGGGGATTCGAACCCGCCACCTTAGGTGTATGTGGCTGGCGCCTTAGCCGCTTGAGCCATAGGCACCGAGCTGGTATGAAATTTCTTATACCATAATATGTTAAAAATAAATGCTAAGCTGGGCATGATGGCTCACGCCCATAATCCTAACACTCTGGGAGGCCGAGCCAAGCTGATTGCTTGAGCTCAGGAGTTCCAGACCAGCCTGAGCAAGAGCAAGAACTCATCTCTACTAAAAATAGAAAAACTGAAGCAAGGCTATCTCTTGAGCCCAAGAGATTGAGGTTTCTGTGAGCTATGATGCCATAGCACTCTATCCAGGGTGATAAGAATGAGACTCTGCTTAAAAAAAATGCTAAAATCCCTGTATAATATGTACAAAAAACAAGTATCTAAATACAAACAAATAAAAATTTGAATTAAAATATTAAAACAAAAGATTTTTTTCTTCAAAGCTTGGGCCAAAAATATGGGTAAACATACACAGAAGCATATCATATATGGTAGATTATGGTACTTGTAATGAATAACTGGCAGGATTTAGTGACCCATGAGATGTGGGGATGAAAAACTGGGAAGGTTCTAAGATTATTTCTATGGGGGATTTTGTGGTTATAGTGCCATCACTAAGATAAAGAATATAGGAAAAGGAATAAATTTGGGAGAGGGACGATGGGATGGAAGAAGTTAATTAGTTTATCTACTTCATAATTTTTCATAACCACCCCAAATAGAATTGCCTAGCCTTTGAATAGTGTTAACAATAAGAAGTAGAAAGTAAATTTAATTTCACTGATCACTGAAATGCACACTATTAAGTGGTCATAATAAGAAAACTCAACCCTAGTCCAGTTCAAAGTTATGTGGGAAGTTAATATGTTGACAAAAAAGAGTTATTCTTCAACAAATTCTTACTTGTTATATAAGAGTAGGATTTTTTTAGGTTAATAGATAAACATTAATTATGTCAACATACCCTCAGTCATGAAGAGACATTTCTGAAATTAAAACTTACTAAAATGATTTGATACAAAAGTATGACTACTGTATAATTGCTCTGAAAATCATCTAGTCTATCAAGTGAGGCATATTTGTACTAAAAGTGTATCGATCTTTTATCTGTGAGGAGAGAAAACCTGAGGAATTCTCTAAGTCAAATTAGCATTTTTCAGAAAACAAGAATATAAGGTAGTACATATAGCTGTTCCTGTGTATGTCTTATAACTTAGTAGTAGTCTACCAATTCCATGAGGGTTAGAAACCATCTTGTAGACAGCCTTGCACTCACACAATACCTCGAAGAGTATCTTGAGAAAAACAGGTATTTACTAATATTTTTAGGTAAATAAAAGAAAAAAGTGGTAAAAAGCAAATACTTACAGGCATACATATCTATAGTCACAGATATGACATAAACAAATGCAAAAACAACTAATAAGAACCTAACCTAGAGTATTATGATTGCATATGTATTATAAATCAGCTGAAATTTAAATTCAGAAAGTTCAGGTACAGTGTCTTTACCTCTCATCTACAGCACTTCACTTGTGACAATCCATCACTGAAGTTAAGTACATCTACTCCTTGGATCACAGAGTGGCTTGATGTTTCCTTAAAATGGGTATTTATTCATCTTTCTTTCAACATATGTTAATTGAAACATCACATTTTTCTTAACTAGAACTTTATGCAATACCATAAACACAGTTGCATGAAAACATAGTAATGAATTTCCTAGGACGTTAATACATATATATGTAAGCATAAAAGTTAACACTAATTTAATGCAAAGGATTATTAAATCTGTGACTACAAGGATATGATTTAAAAATAAAAATCTTTTTTATTTATTGTCTGTACGTAAGAGCATGTGAAAAAGTGTATAAGAGAGCACTTTAGAGAACTGTAATTCACAATGCAAAATGACTAAAAGTGAAAGTACTGTGGTGACTACATGTATGGATGTGAATCATCAGATGAATACATATATGTGTTCTCTCTCACACTCCTACTACTTCTCTCTTCTCTTGCTCTCTCTCACACACACAACAAAAAACATAATCTTACCCAAGATTTTCAGAGTCAAAAACACGATTCAGGTCACAGTCAATATATCTGGTGCACTTCTTCACTGCTTTTGGGTTTGTAATAAGTGGTTTTATCTCCAGACCTGTTCTCTGAATCTCAGCGCCATTCTGTAGCCAATGCTTAACCAGAAATACTCCTGTTAGCTCATTCCCATGAGTTCCTCCAAAGATAGCAACCTTTTTTATAGGTTCTTCAGCAATGTGGCAAGAAGTCATTTCACCAAGAAGTTTTATGTGATTTCTGCAATTCAGAAGAGATCAAAGGAAACTTGATTTCTTAAGAAAAGTTTAGAAATTTGAAGCCGAGTGAGACTTTAACCAAAGTACAAAGTCCAGAGTTCCCTTGCATGGAGTATATTTTAATTTTCTGTTACAAGTTCTGAGCCCTGTTTTTTATGTGGACACTCCCTTCTTTAGCCCTGCCCTTTACCATATTTGGATTACAACTAGAGATACAGCTGTTTACTTTAACTTCTAACTCCCTCAGATGGTCAGTGGAACTAAATACAATAATAAATTAGCATCACAGACTAACACAAAAGTCCTGTTTTCCCCTCAGCTAGAATGCCATCCAATGGGGCTGTCATGATTATTTGTAATAATAAAAAGAGTTTATATATTTCTCAGATCAAAAAATAATAAAAATAAAAAAGTGGTCCATTCAATATTTATATTTCTATTGGCATTTAAAAAATTTCATCTCTGAAATGAGTTCAGGCACTTTTCATAGTCTGAGGGCAGCATTTGAATCTCACCTCTATGAACAGTCACAGGCAGATCGTCAGAGATCTTCTCTTGAACCAGCACTCTTTTTTCAGAATGCTTTTTTACACTCAGAAACAGGAAGACCAAATCAGTGATCAGTGGGCTTTAAAATGCTACTTTGAAACATCCTTTAATTTCTTTTTCATGAAGTTTTTGGTAATCAAGTATCAACTTTCTTATGAACCTTCCTCATTTCTTTTTAACCTGAACACTAAAGGAAAACCAATTGTTAGTGATTTTTGAGTCTCTTTAATGGGGATATCATATCTTGGGACATACTATATATACTAAACACGTCATGTGAGCTTATCTAGACATGGCCTAACTTATTGGTAGCAGGGATTCTCCACTGCAATGTGCTACTCAAAAGGGGGTCTTATTAGGGGAAATCGTCTAGAATACTAAGATGATTGCGACCCTTTGGTGAAATGACTTTGAGCCAAATCTGATTTGACTTCATACTTATTTACCCAGAAAATCAAATGTACTCAAGTACTGGAAGTACTATGTATTAGGAATGCCAGGTTGGTTGATAGGGGTACAATAAGAATAACTCATTACAATTGCAGAGCAGTTTAATTTACAAGGTTCTTCCACTAGGTTTATTCATGTATCCTGTTTTGTAAGGGGGTAGGTTAGGTATGACATCCCCATTGCAGGGATGAAGGAAAGAAAGATTAAGTAAGCCGATTAATGTTCTACAGGAACTGAGGAGAAAACTAGGCCTGGGGCCCATATTTCTGAGTCCAAGTCTAATGTTTTTCATAGGACAATAGGGTGCCTCTCTGTTATTTTTGGTCTTCTTCAAAGTTCTATTTTTGCTTTTTCAGAATTTACATAAACAGTCATTACCTTGTGCTCAGAAAATAAACAGGCACACAAACAAAATACATGGTGGAAAAATAAGATATGGACGCTTCATAATATTTAATAAACCAGTTCATGTGTTCTTCCTTTAAGAAATCATAATGCAGAGATAAAGAAAGCAAAATAACCAAATCTAAATTTACATGTTGAAATCACTGGTGTAATCTAGAAAAATAAAAGCCCCTGTAGCCTTTGAATTTTCTACCTACTTCAATGTACACCAAACACTTCAGACAGTGTAGAGATGATGAAAACACACATAAATGTAAACAGCCGACAGTTGTATTGTTTAGTTACTTTGGTTTTAAGAGCAGTAACTATGGTGAATTATTAACACTCTACTATGTTGTTTCTTTTCTGCTGATTTGTAGTTTGTTCTGTCCTTTGCCCTAGTCTCTCTAGAAATGCTGCTTCAGTTATTTACTTGGCTACCACAAATGACTTGCATTTTGAGGCTTGTTTTATGGAATCTTAACAGATCAGCACTTTGAAGCACATTTCACATTCATTAGTATCCTTATTACATGTCAAAATTAATAACCTTTTCAAGAGTTAATGAATTGTAGTAATTCTTTCCTATACTTACCTTGTATATTGTGTACAGAGTTTGTCGCCTGTGGAAAGCTTTATTAGAAAAAAAGGAGAGCATTTCCTCAGAACTAGAGCAACAGAGGCTTTTCATACTCTTATACCAAGTTAACTTCCAAAAGATTTTTAACTCCCTGTTTCCCAAAGCACACTCAATTTTTGAGAACCACAAAAACTATACATTTTTATTAGTCTAGTTTTTTTTGAGAGTTCAGAGAACTGGTTGTATACAAACAGAAACTTATTCTGGTTGCATCATTTCACTAATCAGTATAATATCTAATATCTTTAAGTACTTAAAAGCATTAAGTGTGAGAACCTCCAGCATCACAAATATTTTGTGGGGATGGAGGTGCCCAAATGACTAATAAAATAATGTAATTTAAAACAAAAGTAGAGCAAATTTTTACTCCACAGTCTTGGGTGTCCAGTAGATTTATGCTAGAAATTTTGCTGGAGACAAACGTAAGGTGGGCTTATTTCCCAAATAGTATGATTGGGGGATAGGGTGGGATTTCTTTTCAATATCGTATATAAGGTGTCTCATAAATAATGAGGCTGTCCAGGAGCCATGAAGTCAAACTACTCTTACTACATAGTACTTAGTTATAGAAATTAACACAATTTTCTCCCTCCCTGTGCTCTGTTGCTGTTACTTGCCCATCTTGCCCAACTTTCCAGGTGGAAATAAATAATCATAAGCAGAACAAGATAGGAATAAATACAGTTCATAAACTGCTGGCAAAGATTTCAGATCCCTGTGTCTGCATTCCTCACAGATATACACAGGATATTGCTCATAGAGGGTTTTAATTTTTTATTTTTTAATGCGAAATCTATTTTTAGGGTGTGTGTTTATACACCTGTATGTATGTATCTTTGTGCATATCAGGTCAAAATCTGCTTCCTGAAGCTTCTGTTCGTGTTTTGGCTAAGTCCTCTCTGGAATCATAATAAATACCAAGTCTTTTAGGACATTTCATCTTTTGAAATCTTTTTTCAACCTTATTCCTTTCTCTGGCATTGAAAGCCTGCTGTTATCTGGTCTCAATCTATCCCTAATATTATTTCCTAACATTTTTCTTTGGACATAATCTTCAAGGCCTCACAGTCCTGGGCCTTTCCTAACAACCTTCCCTCCACCTCTGAGCCCTTTCCACCTCTGCCCATCTACACTCAGATGATGGCGTGACGACGACATGTGCCTTCAAACTCAGACAAAGCTGGAATTACTAAATTGTGCCCCTCGGAAATACCGATACATGGCAGCTACTGCCATTAAACAAGGGCTAACAGTTTTTGAGCATTTCACCGTGTGCCAGGACTGTTTGTTTTCTCTTCTGATATTTTTAGGACGATTATGTAAATACGGTAATTTGAGGAAGGAAACGCATGTCTAGTGGGGGTAAGTAACTTGCCCGAGGTCACAAGGCTAGGAATCCACCGCCTTCCCTCATGGAGCTGGAAGCTCCGGCCGCCGCGCCATTCTGCTGGCATCGGAGGCTGCGGGGGTTGGGGGGCGCTTTTCCCGCCCCGGCTCCCGGCGCCCCCACCGGGCCTCCGCTTAGCCACCAGCCTCCGGGCTCTTGGTCTTGGCTGACTCAGAAATTCAGCCAGAACACGCAAGACCCCTGTCACTTGGTTTTGAGGCCTGTGGCCCACAAGTCAGCGCACTCCAGGTTGCCACCAGCATCCTACAAACTGAAGTTTAGAACCCAAGAAACGGCCATGGGTGCGGGGAAGGCAGGAAGACACTTTTCTGACAAAGCTGGGCAGAGGACTGTTGGGCAGGACATCTGCCGCTGCCTCTACGGCGACCAGGACAGCCTCCTTCCCTCTCTGGGCAAAACTCTAAAGAGGTGGAACCATCCGTGCGCCACCGCGCACCTCACAGCGCGGGGGTGTGCACTGGGACGCCGCTGAGCGAGGGGAGGCAATCCGCGACGCCAAGACGGAAAGGCGCGACACCCCTGCGCCTGCGCGGTGTGTTGCGCGGGTTGAGTTGCGCCTGCGCACTGCCGGGCTTCCGGCGTTATCTGTGGAGGCCCGAAGGTTAGCGGTGGCTGGCTGGACGGTCTTGATTCCCGCGCCTGAGGTGAGGGAAACTTGAAGGTTAAAGTTGTTATCTTGTGTTGGTAGGAGGGCTGAGGAAAGGAAGAATGTGTGTTGACTCTAGTCACCAAACTGATCCCAATCCTTGCATGGGTTAGGAGAGCCCTTTGAGCAAGAACATAAACCTAGGCTGGAGGTTTTCTCCCACCCGCCATGAGGGGTCCTCTTGGCCTTGAAGGCGGCGGTTTTTGTGGGGCCTGTGTTTGCGACCGTGAGCTGGCTGATTCAGCAAACTTTTTGTGCATTAACGGGATCAATTACATTATTAACGCTTCTTTTTTTTTTTTTTTTT